TGCAGGCCTTCGCCGCGCTCCGGTTCCGACCCCCTGCGCCCGCAGCCTGCCCGCGTGTGGGCGAGGATTCAGCGGAGGCTCAAAGGTCCCTTCCCCCAGGTCCCCACCCCAACCTGGCACGGGCGAGAGAGGCGCCCAGGCCGCGGCCGCGCGGAGGCGAAGAACGCCCGGAGTTGAGGCCGCGCGCGGTGGCGGGGCAGCGGCAATGCGGGGTTAGCCCCGGGCACCAGGCTCGGAGCAGCTGGGGTGGGGAGACGCCCGCGGGGGCCCCGGGGAGCGGGCGGGCGGCGGTTATTCGAGAAACCAGCCTCTCGGGAAGAACCAGACAAACCGGTCCGGGCAGGGCGGGCGCCGCCACCAGGGTGGAGCCGGGGCTGGAGGGGGCGCTCAGCCTGGGGGTGCGGAGGGAGCCCCAGGCCCAGGCGCCCCGCCCACCGGCTCCGTCACGGAGGACCCAGGAAGCCCAGCCCCACCCCAGACCGGAGCTCAGGTGTACTTTTCAACCAACCCGGCGGAGTCCCCAAAGGAGTCTCAAATCAGTACACTTGAGTTTTCTTTAAAGAGCTAGACAATCTCCAGATGTGCAAATTAAGCAGCACAAATCTAAATAAATCGAGAACTTGGAACCAGTAAGTGGCGTCATGGTGCTCCGTGGACTCCCACTGCAGCTTAAAACTCACTCCAGAGGCCTGGGTTTGCATGCCCAAAATCCTGAGCGAAAAAGGGATTGCAGCGTGGCCATCCCCTCTGGGGGAGGGGCTGTGATTTCTCGCTTTCTGTCTCTCAGAGAGACATCTTAAAAAGGAAAAAATTAAGAGCTATATGTAGCTAAAACAGAGCTCAGAAGAAAATTCATACTAAAATGTATGTATAAGAAAAGAAAGCAGGGACCAGCAGGTGGCGCTGGACTCCCACATGGCCTACCGTGTTTCCAGTGCTGGAGCTGTCAGTTTGCTTTCTTACTCCCCTCCACCCACCCCTCTGGCGAGCACACATGCCCTACAACAAATTAAAATAACAATTATAATAATAAAGAAAAGAAAAAAGAAAAGTAAATGTCCTAAAAAAAAATAAATGTCCTAAGCTTGTTTTTAAAAAGTAATGAAACTAGGGGACCAGCAGATGGTGTGGTGGCTAAGGTGCTGGACATTCCCACACGGCTGACAATGGTTCGAGTCCTGGACTTGGACTTGATTTTGCTCTTTCTTTCTCTCTCTCTCTCTCTCTCTCTGGTCAAATTTGAATGAATGAATGAATGAATGAATGAAAAAAATTTTTAAGTAGTAAAACTGATAAACCCTGAAAGCAAGGCTGATTTCAGAGAAAAAAGAGAAAACACAGATTGTCTATTCCTGATACTACTGAGCACAAGAAACTGAGCATGAGAGATAGAAAAAGGAGGAAGAAAAAAAGAATTTTTTTTTTTTTTAATTTTTTGACATAGAGCAAGTATACTTGCTGGAGAGAGACAGAGAAAAAGTGAGAAGTCACCCCTATGGGTGGCTGGCCTCCTTGCAATCCATTCTCCTCCATTCTCCTCTTGAGCTTTTGGGTATGTATGCACACATATATGAATCTGGCATGTTTTTCAAGCTACTAAGTTGGGGGCTGGAACTGCAGATTTGGCCATGTTGGATTCAGAGCCTTAACCACCATGCCACCTGCTGGCCCCTGTTTTTGAGTCATCCAGAAAAAAAAATCACATTTCAGATTCTATTATGGCTGATGTACTTCAAACATGCATGTTAGAAGAGAGTGCAGACTAGTTTAGTACTGTAGCCTTAAAAGAGAGAAAATATGTTCTTGGGAATGTACTTGGGAATTTGAGAGCTGAGTTTAAATCTAGCATCTAACTTTGATACTAGATTTATGACTACCATTTTCACTGGTGATGTGGAAGATAACCTCACAGACCTGTTGCATGGTGTAGAGAGAAGTCTAACTGCTTTTTCCTATTTTTCCAAAGTCCTTTCCAGAGGGCCTGGGGGGAGTCATGCCCATAAACATTAACAGACCATTTTTTTTCCCATTTAACAGGATTCTCCTTGCATCCTGTCCCTGGCATGTATCTGAGATGTATATTCAACTGATTACAGTATATTCTCTCTTTTTAAATGTACAATATTCATTAATATGCATATTTACCTATGTAGATAGCTATGAAACCATCACAATTAATATTGTGAACTTATTAATCATGTCCCAAAGTTTCTTCATGTACTTTTGTAATCTCCCTCCCAAACTTCCTTCCCCTAATTCCATTTATCCCTACCAATTTGTTTCATATCATTATATTTCATTTTCTATAGTTTTATAAGTGGAATATATGCTATGTAATCTTTTTGTCTGACTTTTTTTACTTTACTTTATTAAAATACTGAGTTTATTTCACATTTGTATGTGTGTGTGTGTGTGTGTGTGTATATATATATATATATATATATATA